AACCCTGCGTTGCGCAGTTTCGCCCGATTAGACACGTTCTCTCGCGCGAACATTCACACTCGCATGCTCGAGCCGTCTGCGTCTCCGCCCATACAGCGTGCGTTGAGGATCTCTCAACGTGCCGTTGCGAACTGCGCAACGCAGGGTTGACTCTGTTGGGCTCACGGCGACAGGTCGCAGGATCGATTCCCTGACGGGTTCTCCCTTTTGCCTTCGCGGCAACATGGTTGAAAAGGCTCCCAACTACGTTACTTGATCAACACTTGCCTATAGTATCTGTATAAAGAGTTCCCAACAGACTTAGGCGCTACTCGCTAACGAATGCAATTGTAGCCCGCAGGCCCTTCGCAGACGTTTTTGCAGTAGACAGTTGAGATATTCGTGTTCCGGTACTTCTAGGTATGCATTTATAACCAAATCACTCGTCTGGAAATCGATCCTCCGACCACTGTCCAAAATCTCGGACCACTACCGCTGCTCTATTTTGCTTCATAACTCCGTTCAGAAAATCGATTGGCAGATTTGGAAAGCAGATTCGAGATCAGCGTCCAAAAACGCATCCAACAGTGTAGGTCTCATTGCATATCGGTTACTTCGATCCATCATCCTTTCCTGGTTAGTTCTCAAAAATATTCCATTCAAAACTGGTTCCATTAGTTCCTTCGAACGATTTGCAGTCAAAACCTCTTACAACGAAATCTAGGATGTAAATGCTTTTCCAATCGTACATTCATTATTATTTATTTTGTAAGTAATTCATTTCGCACGACCTTTTTTGAAGTATACTTCAAAAAATAAATAAAACCATTAGAGAGATCCGATACATCAGTAAAAGTTTGTTCTGCAGCCGCTAAGGTTACCAAGGATCGGTAACAAATCAGTATATCAAACAGGGTGCGTAGGACACGCGGCTTGAGACTAAGCCGCCGCAAAAGCCTATCAATACACATTGCCCACGCACCATCAGTGAACATCACTTCCGATGACAATAAATGAGGCAATGGGGGTTCAACAGCTCAAAAGGCCATAAATACGAGAATTCCCCCCCCCGTTTATTCATATTAGCAGACCACAAAACTGCGATCTGACAACCTATAGCTGCCTTGTAAAATGAACAAAAAGAAAAACTCTGCAAGTACCTATCCAAACCACAACAGACAAAATTGCGGACCAATACAGCCCCAAATCCAGAGCGGCCAGCTTAAATCCTTTAGACGACAAATCACCACTGATATAACTTACCATTGCATCAAAATAGAGTAAACAGCTTCCGCGCGCTTTTTTAAGAAAAAACAAACATAAACAAAATTCCGTTCCTATGCGAAAATAAACAAATGTGAAAAAATATGCGAAAGGCGTCGGATATCCTCAACAGCTCGATTATTTTAGCATTTTCTCCTGCTAACATGGTGAAGTTGTTAGGTTCACAACCCCGCAGATATAAGGCCATTTCGCCACTCGGTTAAAAGGATGCCTAGATGTTCCCACTTGCAATCTGTATTACTCGTCCAGAAACTACACACGCCCGCAGTTTTAGGATCTGTTGTCGCGCACCCCGTTGTATCCTATCGTCTCCATCTGTCATTCTTTCGCCTCCGCGCTCGCGTTGCTTGGACAGCCTCTCCCAGACTTTCCTATCTCTTATAAAGAGGACTATCCGTTTTCTACATTTTCTAAGGTTTCCTTTCTTATACATGAGACATCCACAATGAGGCTCTAATGTCTCCATATTATTAACCAAGAAATTTACCGTTTCCCGTATTCCGCCGACTGCCTTCAAGAGCATTTTTTTACCGTGCCAATAATTGTTCTTTCATATTTCCCCATACCTTCGCCCACATAGGTGCTGGTACCGCTTCGCATTGATAAGGTAAAGATAAATCATTCGTTTCTAACGATTAGCCGACAAATTTAGAACTGTCGCCCAGTTTCTAAAGTTACCAAAGGATTTAACCAGAGAAACCGGGGTTTCTATCTGATGTTCTATGCTCTTTTCGATGCAGCCTTTGCTGTTTGTGGACCTACAGCAGCACGGCTAGTGACGTAACATTTCAAAAACGCTATGTGATAAGCAAATTGTAAATAAGCAGATACAGGCAAATTTGCGATGTTGTTTTTCCCCAAAGCACAACTGCTGACGATGTCTTCAAACAAGAGTTTAGACTGCTGATAACACGAAATTAGAGTTTTTTTGCCAAGAGCTGGACGACTTAAACGTGTACAAATGAGCTGGCGCAAAACAAGGTCCTTGATCTGCCTATGAATAGAAAATCAATCCTTAATCTTCACATTGCTAGCAGTTTTCGAATGAACGTCGTTGGAAGCTGTTTTTAGTTCGTTTTTGATTGCTCGAGAAAGATGCGAGTTCGAATCCCGCCTGGAGCTACGAGTTTTGTCCACAACTAGGCATTCTTGTGACAACTGTATTTTCACACTAAACCGAATACCGTTCCGCGATAGGACGAGCCTAGTGATCATGATAAGCCTAATGCACTGCAATGACCCTGTCATGCAGGGGAACCGGGGTTCTTCAACCATTACCAACGTGCTGGCTCATTAATCTTTATTGTGATGGCTCGAGACTCGAAAAAACTCAAAGAGCGAACATCTCTGTGAATGCTGCATTTCACAGTAAAACCGAAAGCGTTTTCGCGTCAACCCAAGACTAGTACTGTATTGACACTATGTCAGGCGACAAGAACGCTCCACGAGCACAATAACGATCGACCGCACACGTACGCGTTGGCCAAACATGCTCGTTAACCTCCGACTTTTTTCAATCGCGCGCTACGACCGCTTAAACAGCTCTCAACGACGAGAAACGCTCCTATGATACTCGTTTCCATCTCTCAACGAATTGAGGCTCGGGATTTGGGTTCGAATACCCCACGAATTCCCAAGAGAGCATAACAGAGATAGCCTATCTAGGCTATTTCAGATCAACTCATTCATCTCCCATCAATCGAATAAGAAAAAACATAGTCCTTATTTTCGTTTACTAAATAGACCAAATTCATCAGGTTGAGAAAAAATTTGTAGCTGTTCACTAGATAATAGCGACTATTTCTAATGACTTTGATATCGTTCGGCCCCTTATCTTCCACACATTTTGATAACCCCGCTTGTTTATCTATCTTGGTATGAAGCTTACACGCGATCAACAGGATTATTAATGATGCACCAGTGTTCACTGCAGCGCGCAATGCACTCATACACCATCAATAAGCTCTTTTTGCTTGCATATAGGCTCCATAATGAAACAACTACTATACAAGCTTTGTATATCAAAATTTGTAGGAGAACGCAGGCCTTCAAATGTATCCAAAACTGTAGAAGAAACAAGGAAAATAGAAAAGCCATCTGCTAAAAGAACTGCAAAAAAATCTGCTAAACAAGAAGAATCCTTACGTCTGCAAAAGTTCGTGCAACAAAACCACAAAGCGGCACAAACACTGCTATTTGAGAGGAACGGAAATTAATATTCCTTCGGAAAAGCAATTTTATTAATAACAAACCTGGAAGCTGCACATCAAACGTCTCTCATCCACACTCATCATACCGCCTGCATTATCGAATTCTCCGCAGTAATTGGGTGCGGAGAACAGCGTCACCAACTGCCGTTTGGCAAAGAATTCATATCCGTCTTCCACCACCTGAATACTTTGATTATTATCACAGTTCCACGGGACAAAATATTATTTTCAAAATGAGATTATTTTTGCTCTTGAAAGACATTATGAGGTACACCAAAAGAAATCCGGCGCGCCGATAAATCACGTAAACTCAAAACATATATTCCATGACACTGAAAACTTCTACAAAAACCTGAGTTTCGCTTTTTTTGATATTTGTTTTGGAAGAAAAAGGATTAGTATGAACACAACAAAATGCTACTACGCTCCCAGGGAACAGACACTTTTTTCCGATGCCCGACAAGTTACTTAGACTTCGAAATGAATAGCGTAGAAGGTGACTAAGCTCCTCCACTATCCTAGTATTTAAATGTCTATATTTCATCTGGTTTTCCAACATTTTACCCAACAAACCGCTACTTTGTTCCGAGCACTCGCGACCGTTTCACTATTGACATAGCGATACGTCGAGTGCGGCAATGCGTCAAGAACTTTCGCGGTGAAGGATAGAAGTGCCAGACGTGACACACACAACCTATTGCGAGCAACTTTTACCGGTAAATGTACTTTGAGTCCCTATTGATTTGCGACGAAAACGCCCTCAACGACGTCACGAGGATTTTCATGTTCTTCAACGAATGTTTAATGCTTTTGCAATCATTCACATTGACTACAGAACAAATCGTGCAAAGGAGTGGAGGGGTTTTCGTACCGCTCAAGAACACTACCCGTAAATTCGCATGAGTTCAGGAGCTATCGTATAGGAGAATGGAAAGAAAAGGTGAAAATAGAAGAAGAAAACCTAGTAGCCATCCCAAAGTCGCACATGGAAACTCATTCACTTTAAAGTGAGAAGAGACTAGTCGATGTTGACTAATGAAAAGGCTCACATTCCTCATTCTGGTTTACATTTTTTACTTCCATTCTTTGGACCAGTCCCTTCCTCGAAGCTAGATGCGCTTCCTTATAACTTTGCATAGTTTGAGAGCAATTTGCGAGAAGTCTTTCCAACACTTCACATCACCTCTCGACTCCATGAAAAAAATCTTGGCACGCAAACTGTCACAAATGAGACGTTGAGCTTGCAACTGACAGGCGCTAGAAAAAGAAGTGTGGCAAAGGAGGGATTTGCAAAAGTACTCCGTTGTCCTAAGACGTGGACAATCAACCCTAGAGCCTAAAAAAGTGAGGGAGACAAAAAAGTGAGCAATAATCACTATTCTGTCAGCTGCACCTCTCTGAGTTGAGCAAAACGCAGTTTTTAGCCTCCTTCCTATGCGTGGCACACTATTTGCGTCACGTCGTCCCGTAACCATATTATTTATTATACCATTTCATGAAAATAAACAACTTGTTAAATAAATCAGATAGACATATGGAAAGAATGGAATTTATTATCCCATCTAGAATAATAGCTCAACGAGCATGAACATTTACATTCACAAGAAACTAGAAACTCGCAGGGAAAATTTTGGTCACCCAGAATCTGTAGGGATTGCCGATTTTGAGATGCCCTAGGAAATTGCAGAATGATTCATGCTTGTTTGAGTATGACTTCGTACACTGCTTAGTTTGGTAGACTATACGTAGCGAAGACCCCCAAAACAGGATGTTGTATGTTTGTATGCTTGACAAAAGAACGCTCTTTTGTTGGCTACCTCGAGCCTACTAATCGCCTTGTGTTACAAAGTTTTGAAATTTTTAATCCGTATCGCGTAGCCAACAAACTACATCCTATTGCTATACTATCCACCGTCACGAATTATTGAAATTTTGTGGCCGTTTTGAAACTGAATATAACAAGAGGTACAGTTCTCTGTTTATCGGAGAGTATAACAATCAGCAACTCTTGGAGTTTGGAAATGAAAGAAAGATATCTGATGCGATATGTTTTCTACTTCATTTATACAGCTGATTTACTCGAGCACTGTGATTGAAAGGCAGTGTAAATTTCTACAAAAACTGAAGCTTGACTAAACGGCGAAGCAAATACCGTCGTTATCTCCCTCTCTCCGAGTCAAAAAAGAAGAACAGGAAAAAATAAACAAATCAGCTTTTATATCCACCTACCTGCTGACCATCTACATATCAAGATCGAGATCAGTCGATGAGGAACTTTGCGACAACGTCTGGGCCAAACGTGAACGACACTCCACGATCATTTTCGCCCCATCCCGTGACATCCTTATCAGGGTCAGACCACAGCAAATCACATAAAAAGACCTGAAAGAATATCTCCAATAAATGAAAACACAACCGGATCAATGCCACGTCAATGACTCGTTCGTCCATGTGCCAAGCAAAACACATCACTAAGATCTCGTACGTCAATAGTCGCCGACGACGCATAGCATGGAGCGATCGTGATCGCTCCATCGCTTGTTCTGCCGACTATGACGTCGTTCTAGCGTGCTATGTCCCATGAAAATTTGAGAAACTCAAAAAGATTAGTTAGCAGATAGTGTGAAGAGAAATGATTCCCAAAAAATTTAAGTACCATTCTAGCAGATCAATCTCTCATCTCCTTTTATACGAAAAAAAAACAGTAAGTTCGACGCTCAAGAAATCTCATACAATTGGGAGATCTCTCTGTTTTACCCAGCACAGAAAAGCGCGCTATGACTCACAGAATAGTTCTCACAAATGAGTCACACACATGAGTTTTGCAGTGACAGTAAAGCAGGACTACAATGATGAGATGTAATCGAGTCCTTAAGGCATCATGATTGCTCATAATTTTGCTTTGAAAAACTTGGCAAATACATCCCGCCAAAGTCGCATAAATAACTACAACTTGCATAGTAAACCGCACAAGCATCACACTTGTCTAAGATCCAGGATGATTCTTTCGCAGCCTCTTCCCCAAAATTAAAAAGACACAAAGAAATGAAACCTTTAAAAATTAAACTAAGGATCAAAAATGCACCGTGAGAGGCAGTATTTACATCGCGAAGAGCTAGGGTTGGTTCTCATGCACAGTAACACACAGGAGGAGGACCTTACCTACTTGACCGAAAAAAAATATTTCTAGTTTCCAAAAACCGTCAAACATTTTCGAATGCAGAAACATCAATAAATGTTTTTAACACTGATAAAATTGGTGGTTTTATCGGAAAACATTGGGAAAGGGATGGAGATGCACGCATAAAGGTGGTCCGCTAGTTTAATGTGGACTTTAAGTTCTCACACATTGAATCCTTGGCTAGATTCTTTGTAGCAGGGCCTCTAATTTGGTTTTTTTTTTCAGCTTCTTCCGTGTTAATGATTACTGCTCGGTTCTATTTATTACACCTGCGAGCATACTGTTTCGACTTCCCGTCAGTGTCAGTTTGGAATATCGATCCATTTCGACCATGCAATCCTGTGATCGCATGTACGATCGATACATATCTTCCCCAAGAAAAAATTGCGTCGGACCGCAGAATCGCATTATCGCAAAGTATGACTAGACCCCTAAAGGTACAAAGTACTGGTGCGGAGCGAGATGTTACAACCGACTGAAACCAATAGTCTTAATTTTCGGATTCGTAAACAGCTTTAATGGAAACCAAGGCTTGAAACCAACTGAGAAGTTGCTGACCATGGCGTAAAGATAAACGAATAAATTACGGGAGTGTTTAATACCAACCTGTATCAGGAACATCAGTTGGTCGCATGACGCGTCGTATCTGCTCCATATTTTGTAGATCGGGAGAAAGACCACCATGACAACAGAAAATTTTTTCATGCATAAGACCGCATGGAAGGCAGCTTGAAGCAATCAGGTCAATCGTCTTCCAAAGCTTGATATAACAAAAGAAAACCACGTTACGCTAAACTCAAACCCTCTCCTCCTTTACTGTAATGAATACAAGATACTAACTGAATAACTCGTGAAAAAATTTTTTCACGGTCTTATGAAACTTGAAGTCCATTCGGCGATAGAAGAACTTTATTGTCAAGTTTAATGAAAAAGTGAAAAAGCATTTTGTCGCGGCGATTGTCAACAGCCCTTAGAAAATCAGACCCAAAAGAAACAGTTTGTAAGCATAAGTAAAAGCAGGCAACATGTTACAGTCTCGGAGCGGTCGCGATCTGAACGGACAACGAAAGGACACAATACAAAATAGCGGCTTGAGCAGAAAATTTGCCTTCAATATTTTCATCTAATTGGTTGATCATGCACAGTCTAAGGCACTGTGACTACCTCGAAGGGTTATGCGTTTTATAGACCCTTAGCCTGGAACTGTTTCGTCCTGTTCATTCCTGCCCCATTAAGCGCGCTGAACGCTCTGGTTTCGCATCCAGATGTTCAACAGTTTTATTTCCTAGATCGTGCACATAATCCTTGTACCTACACTGATGGATGTAATGTTTATTAACAGGGTGACCTCACGGCGCACGAGATTCTTCAGCAAAGAAAGTCGTCAGTAGCCTGCGGAGAGACGAAATAAAAGAATGTACAGGGTGGGTTAAAAGTACTGGTGGCGACCTCTATGTTTTTGCCTTTTCGATATCCTTATTTAACAGCCGATTCCCAACTGCATTCTCTACCCTTTATCTTGCTTGCAGCGATCGCTTAAACACACTAGGAATGAACAGCGCTATAGCGTACCGCGTTCCCAAACCGATTTTCTCAAATTGAAAATTTTCAAAGATGCGCTTCGAATTCGATCTTTCATTTGCTATCAATCCGGTACCAAGAGTGGTTCAGGAACAACTGCGCGCCTAGCAGATCCCGACTTCATAAATGTCGACGAATGGCTCTCCAGTTTGCGCGTATTGGGCCGATATATCAGGTTGGGTTGCATTGGAGAAAGAAATCTGCTCTATCATATACCCAAACTTGAACCCTCTCATAACGGCGCATCTTTGATCCTGGGACGAAACTGAGGAAGACACCGCCACGCGATGCGCTTGCCAATGGTCTGAAGAACTGTGTGAAGGCTAGAGGCAATAATTCAGGAAATGTCGATGGGAAAATGGCCGAGTTAGAGCTTCTCAGTTTGAACAAGGATCAACGACACCATTGACACTGAAGACCAAAGGAATGTCTAGTGTGCAACGAGGCGAAGAGCCGTACCCTGGCCTATGTTGAAGGAGTCGCGGACATTTTCTCTCAGAACGTTCACCTTGGTGTATCTAATTCAGGAAATTACATGTGCAGTGAAGTTCTTGGAAGCCTCCTCAGATAACTTATCACTAATTAGTATAACGAAAATATTATGCCAAAACGTAACGTGGCTAAAATGTATAACATTCAGAAAATACTCACATTCATCATAAAAACCATAAATTCTGTTAATTGAAGCGCACTCGTGATTTCCTCTTAGCAAGAAGAAAATTTTCAGGATATTTCACCTTGTACGCGAGCAGGAGACAAATTGTCTGTAATGATTCAGGTATTACCCTGAGAACTCTCGAAAACACTGGTGCTTAGAAAAACGAAAAACTAATTGTGCGATTTGCAATTGATTGCGATGTGATTTGTGCTCACCTCGAGACTTTGCTTCCCTCTATCAACATAGTCCCCGAGGAACAGATAATTGGCTTCAGGAGGAAAACCACCGTATTCAAAAAGACGAAGCAAGTCGTTGTATTGACCATGGATGTCTCCTGAATTGTAGTAGACTGCATGAGATTTTAATACAAAGTCCAGTTAGATCTAGTTAATCCAAATTCATGACATATTGTAGCATATAACAGATTAAGAAGAACTCATTGAAAATAACAGAAACAATGAAACCATGAAGTATCAAGAGAACCATACTATTCCCACTTTTTATTTCGAACACATTTGCAGCCACACACCCATTAGAACACACGTTCTCAGGCTGATAAAATTTCACTCTACATGGATAACGTTACATATTTCCCCCAAGGTTATCTCTCAGCTATTGGAGGTGACGCGAAATAACCCTTACTTCCAACCCTCCTGCCCAAACGCGAAAATTTTGTTTTGAAGCAGAATTTAATACAACATAAACCGCACAGTCCATCTCCTGTCAATGTTTCTTCCACATTTTTCTCTTGCTGTGAAAAACTTGTAAACAAAGAGTCATTATCCTATAATTGGTGCCATGCTTTCTCCAATTTTCTGAAAACAACTCGACAGAACCTACTACTACAGTGGAGAGTCAACACACCGCGTTATAGAGGAAAGTAGTGGTTTGCTGGTCAAGCCAAAAAAATACTTGCGTGCTAAAGATGCTGCCCTAAAGCTTGCTTGCTTGTTTGTCGCAAAATTGTGCACCACCCTAAAATCAAAGACAGAAGTTTGAAATGGTTAGGGCATGGGTCAAAAAATATGAAACACAAATGATGGAACTGTTAACGGACTACTTGAACTCGGCCTTTTAAATGGCCTCGGTTTGCTTCCGCCTGCGCTCTCCCGCCCCTCACCCACCTCGGATCCCTCTCCTCCTAAGGCTCAGCCTTAAACGCTCTCCCTTCCTCCCTGGCTGAACAATTCTAACCAGAGTCCTTCACTAAACATTCGTGCAGAACACTGATAAAATTCAAGTATCCCTAAATCGTGGATAGCAAAGCACGAAAAGGACGGGCAAGTGCCAAATTTCAGTTCGTCTCAGATAACCCGAGGAAGCCCATTTCGCGGTGGGTCACATACTCCGCCAAATCGGCGGCGCAAACCCAACAAAAAAGGCAATTCAGCTTTGCGAAACCTAAAAGCAGAAAACAATATTGTGCAGGTGAGAGATGTCTAGGTATGCTGAGCATGGAGATTGTGTTATGAGTAATGTCCGAGGTGCGCTAAGCATGGTCGAAATGAGCGGAGAAAGAGCACAGCGCGCAGTCTCTACCTGAAGCGTTTAGAACAAGAATCCACAACTTTGTCAGGACATTATAAGCCGGAAATAAATGGTTATTGATGGGGAAGCTCTCCATAAGTTCGAGTGGAAAATTAAGCTGTTTTGGACAAAGATCCTCTATGGAATGAGTGCTGCGCAATTATTGCCAGAAATTTGAAAATAAAATGAAGCCAGTTAACAATGAGTTTGGATAACGCATCTGGTCGACACTCACATTCCAACGACCTAATGGTTTCTTCTCGACACCCGATTCAAATTATACAGGATGCGATAAAATATGGTAGCACAGTAATTATTGCACAGCACCCCGCAATTTCAGCTGAAATATGTGAAATTCTGGAATGGTCCGCGGTCGTTGCATGTTGAAATTGGGCTCGGGAACTGGGATATGGATATGTATTAGGTCGTGAAGAAAGTTCTTGCGCTTTTCGGTGTTTCGTTTTTGAACGCTTTATTTTGTTACGAATTCAAGCAAGCTGCCAATGAGCTGTATGTGGTTTTGAAGAGCTTTTCTTGTTCTATCTAACAGCTAGGCTAGCTATGTTCCTTATATTTAGTTGTCATTTTTTGAAGCCTTGAATACGGCATACTCCAAGAGCAAATTTGCATGATTTCCTTTTTCTAGCTCAAAGCAGGCCAGTATGGAGAGGGAGCAGGTCAAGATATTATAGACGCACTTGGCTGAGATTCGCAATAAATATGGTCTGAAGCAATTGTTCAAAAAGCTTTTGTAAGAATAGCGAGAGCCCTAAAGATTGTGAGGGTGGTGATCGGAGATTGGACAACGCCAACGATTAGTCGAACGTTCTGGTTGAAGCACGTTTGCACAAATCTATTGAGAGGGTTTCCTCCTAAACTGATCGCACTTGCATTGTGTTTTCTTGTTTGTACGGGAAGAGCTGGAAAGTCCCAAAAATTCAAATAGGGCGTGCCGCGACAGCTCACCATTTTGAAGGGTCGTTCGCCGCGTTCTAGCTTGTTTCATGCCATGAAAACGACCTGACTTTTTGATCATTTGCGACGCACGACAAAGAACGGATTCTTTGCTACAGAATACGAACCTTTGGTGAAGTGATCGACCGCGATCAGGCTCTACAAACTTTGCAAAAGTGAAACTTCACTGAAGGAAGGTTGAGGTGACTTTCATAAGGTCAGCGGCTGGTCTAGCTTTTCGTAACCAGGTGGATCTGTTAATGTGGAAAAAGTACTCCTGATAATGTGTCAAACTACTCCTAGAACTCTGGCACATATGCTCGAAATTCCTCATTATAAAGGAACCGGCTCGTCCCTGACAGGTAGCTCGGACGCACATTCCACAACCCGTGCACAATAGAGTTGCACCCCATAGAAAACTTAATTTTCTTGAGCCCGAAATTTTTGTTGCTTCTGCCTATATACTATAGTTTAGAAATAGACGAAGGAATAATATCTGTGATACTTATTTGACATTACGACTTTTTTAAAGTTTGTGACAACAATTTTTCACTTTTTGAGGCGGTGCATAATAGATTGGACGATATGTATTGTGGTTCATAAAACAAGACCTAAAGTCTGCTCCTCCCACCTAAGTATGAGGGCAGCGTTCCTTCTTCTCAGTGAGCTTGGGACTGAAATCAGATTTTGAATCAGCGCATTCTATGCAGCAGAGGCGGTAGAGTTTTCCACTCCTTTGTAATGGTATTTCTTAGCGGCTGAACATTGTCATACGCTTTCCCATCTTACGCGTCAGTATACCCTATGTATTCCCGATAGGGTTTGTATCAGAATTACATACCGGCGAGTGTGGTTTGAAGCGTTCTTTTGCACGAAGATGAAGTGTTTTGAAGTCTCAAGAAACGAATGGTACCAACGTGTTGTTGAGAAGTGACTGATAGTTATGGCTTCTCATTCACAAGAATCAAAATGAATCTCAAGGCTACCATCACTAGAGGATGCCCAGCAAACCATTTAGGAGAAGGCACCGGCGTGCTTCGAGGCACCAGTAGTGGTTCACTTCTGCAAGAGCGCCAGTTCGAGTGCCGTTAGCACGACTCATCTCCGCCGACCAAAATGTCATCGAAAGAAATTACCGTAGGGAAAATAGAAATGAGAAATTTAAATTTAGTATAAAGCTGGAAGTGTGCCCAGAACACTCCGCTGCCCAATCTCTGTTATTCTCATTCCTCGCAAGAGGGAGCCGCTTATGTCGATGATATTGAGTCAGGCGTAGTGTCGGCTTTATTTTTTGTCGAACTATGTGGTCCGATATTTTCAACATACGAGACACGGTCCATTTCAAAACGACAATCCCGCAAGCGACAACCGATTCATAGGCAACCTTTGTGGAACTCAATGCCAAATTAATCAAGCAGCGCCTGGCCGCGCTCAGGAACAACTGACTTCTGTACCACCTTGTTCTTAAGAACAGTTCAAGAATGATTCATGATCACAGCTGCAACTGTACTCCTAGGAATGTAGGGTTCCTTTAGATTTGGAGATCAACCCTTGTCAAGAAGAAGTTACGCTTCACTTCGAATCCAGTCTTCGTTTGTGAAACGCGTATACTTCACATAATACGTGAGTACATGCAAACTTAAAAAGCAGGCAAAAAAAGTCGGAAAAATGGAATATCTCAAATCGTCCAATCTATTGTGCACCGCCAAAAAAATCAATATTTCACTCTAAAATTTTTCAAAGACAGTGTGTCTAACTGAATATTGATGATTATACGAAGTTATACGATCTAACTGAATATTGTGTCAACATTATTTATCTACTTCCCCAGGAAATATATCAACAGCAGAATCAATAAAAGTTTCGGCCTCTCTCAAAAACTAAGTTTTTTATAGGGTGCAATCTATTGTGCACCGGGGTCAAACAACCCTGCAGAAAATTATCGAAGTTGGCTACGAATTAGTCCTGCGAACATCCTACTTGGTAGACCTTTTGCCTATAATATGTCACTTCTCGACTACCTGGATAGCTTCTCCAAAGAGTTATGCTTCAAAAACCAACATGATGCGGAAACGACCTCCGACGGGTTTGGCACAAAATAAGCTCCTAAAAGGTTTGAGAGCGCTTCGACGTCGCAGCACGTCACTTTCAGGGACCGGAAAGCAAGAAAAGTTAATAGCCAGGACATACGTATGTATGCCAGCATAGTTGTGAAGGTGATGAGGAGG